ACGCAAAATACTGTCAATGGAATATGAAAGTCACTTGGTAGACAAAAAGTGTATATTTTGCCAAGCAAGCTATAAATTATCAAAGATGATAATAGCTGAAGAGAAAGAGAAGTAGAGGCAGACCAAGAGAGTTATTCCACAGTTTGGCATAATGGAACAAAAGAACATGTGCATCAAAAATTAATGACTGAAAGATGGAAAGATATGATTATCATAGGGGTCCTAATGGAGCACTGCTGCGTAATACAGGGTGTTTGTAAAATCTCACTCTGTATGTAGAACACATGAGGAAAAGAAAAAAAAAAGAATTGCATGACATCAAAAAAGTTTGCTTCATAGTCAATCGCAAAGTAATATGCAGTGAATGGCTGTCATCTGCTGGAGTAATCCTTTGCACTCAAAACTGAATGGTGTTATCAATGGAAGCAATCACAATTATCATTCAAGAAATATCGACACACTGCAGGAGGTATATCATAATATTAAGAAATGTGTACAGTCATGTCTTGAAGTCCTTGGTGGAGAATTTGAAAACCTTTACAATGAATACTCCGTTGGTACTTCCAGCTTTAAAAAACAGTGTTGTAGAATTGCACTAACTATTTTAACTAATTTATTTACTTTGTTTTAGCACATTTTTAGATGGCGTGATGTATTTGAGTTTTTTAAAATCTGTTTTCCATACAAAGTGTAGTGAGACTTTACAAACACCCTATATAAGACTCTTAACTGTTCGCACTAAAAAATTCTTGTAAAAAAAAAAAGACTTTTTTCAATGAAACAAGAAATTCTGATAAACAAGAAATTCTGAGTCTTAGCCAGTTGTTTAATATACAGGGTTAAACTCCTTGACCACTAAAAAGATAAGAAAGCATGAAATCCTTTGTACTTTTGGTGACATCAATCCTCTAAAAAAAGAAAGTGTACAGTATTTCACCTACGTTTAAACCAAGAAAAGTTTATTTCTATACAAAAGGAGGTAATCTATGCTACAAATCACAAAACACTATCTGTATTTTATGTGTTTACTTTAATTCAACTGTTGATTGGCCAAACTGTGACCATCACACAGGTAACATTTTCAACTGCCATTATAGCTACAATGTTTAATTTAACAGTCACACCAGTGATGAGGTGTATGTGCATTTCCTTTATTTATTACAAAAATCAGTAAAAGTAAACTTTTGTTGGAGTTATATCCCTTTAAAAGTTATTTAAAAAAACAATTATATTTCACTTGAAACCTAGACTGTAAGAAAGGGGTGTTAGAGGAGGTGGTTACTTTATCAGTCACATCTAAGGGACTGCTAGCATGCCAAATTGTAATCCTTAGTCATGCCCCTAATCACTGCACTAACTTAGCGGCAGTGCTGACTATATATAGAAAGAATTGGTCTAGGAGGCTACTACCACTCCCTCTCCTGGCTAGCTCCCATATCCTGTAAACTAAATTATCTGCTACAGAAAATTAGGAGGAGAGATGAACAGAGAATCACCAAACATGCACTGAAATGGGACACTGGCTGGGTGAGGAAATAAGTTAGTTCAAGAGAAACTTAAAAGTGGAAGGCTCATGTTGTTCTCGCTTCTCCAAAGAGTTTTACCACACAAATGGCAATGGTGGAGACCAAGATAATGTAGAGGACGGGAAAATAAAACTTGTACTACCCTGGGTGAAGCCAGCCAATTAAATCTAGTCATAATACACAAACAGAAAAAACAAAACTGATTTCCTTCATTCGAATCATTTAAAAGTGGTTTCATTCACTCTAAGCAAGAGAGCAGTGTGATGTAATAATGAAATGACCTCACTGTGAATCCATAATTTTTTTTAAATCTATTTTTTTCCACCCTGAACATCTAAAAAAAAATTTGTTTAGGGGTAATTATAATCATACCCATCATGTCCACACACTGTGCAGTTGCAGCCAGTACCAAATCTATCATACTGGGTACTGTCCAAAGATATCATGTCAACCAAACTCATAAAAGCTAGGAAAAAAATGACTTTCACAGGACGTGAGAGTAAATGTTTCTCAGCTTCTCTTGCTTAAGTCTACCTCACCTTTTTACTTAATGTGGTGGACCCCATCCTCTCAAATAATCTGGTGGAAGGTTGGGTTTTCAACTCTAATTGGGAAACTGAATTAGAGGCCAGCTGCTCAATTTCGCTGGAACTGCTGCCTTATTTTTCATAAGAAACAGTAATGGTAATATTTTGGCGTTTTTCTGACCACAGGAATGGAACAATTATAGAGTGACCTGTTTGCAATGAAGCTGGAACCTGAAATGATAGCCTTACCAAAGCCAGATGGCATGGGCTATAAAAGTGATTACTGATTAACAATATGAAACTAGCCTTACCCTTGGAAAAGACTCTCCTTACCCCAAGCTCCAAAACCAGTTAGGGATTGAAAACTTGAATATGAGCTCAAGAGAGCATTTTTTTTTTTTTGAATAAACTATACAGTTCAAACACCAAGTAAATAGAATTCATAGAAAGGTAATGCAAATAAATGAACAGTCAATAAAATTACATACAGTAGTCTTCTTTTGTCTAAACAAGTGAAGTCTATTTAGACAGTTAAATATCAGTGGTTTAAGTACAGTTTTATCTTACAATATTCAACACAACAGAATTTACCCTAAGATTTTTGGCCAAAAACAGATTTGTTTAGTCTGGAAGCTAAATTTTATAATTAATAAAACAGTTGAGTCAAGAATTGACATCACAGCACTCAGGGCATTCCCATACACGTTCCGTCCTCATCTTCAGCAGCCCGTGCAGAGTTTCAATGCATATGGTGCTGGTCGTAGTCTGGTTGTATGTCTGTCTTGCCTGTTATCTGAGCGTAGTGTGCAGGCTGAACCCTCTGGTCACACCTAGGTGCATCAGTCTCTCCCACCACTCTTTTCTTCCCTGTCTCTTTTTCCCCTGTTATGTCTCCACATCTCAATACTCTCTCACCCTCTCTCTCTCTCTCCAGTGGAAAGTTCTGGTTGTTTGTCCCTGTCTTGACTTAGTCTTGTTCCAGAACTTGAAATCTATTTGACAAATCTGACTTATCTGTATGTAAACACGTGCCGGGAGGGGGGTGGGTTTATTCTTGTTTTTCCACCAATAGGTCCCCCAGAACCCACATGTCAATATAATAACGTATGTTTTCACACACTGGATGTGCAAAGACACACAAATCCACAACATATAATACTTATATTAATGATGGCGACTGCATCACAAGTAACTCTGAACACTGTTTACATAATAGTGTGATCATCAATACCACCCTTGTTTCAAATAATAAAGTCTAGTATAGGTAACTACTGGTGTATACTGCCAGTGGGGTACAAACGGATAACACCTCAAATATACTTGGTTATTCAGTTTTAAAGAGTAGTGACTGCCTGACTCTCTATATACCAGGTCTATTCAAATAGTGGCTCTTGGCCCAAATATGGCCCAGAGTAGCCTAGCAAGTGGCTCACAGATAAATGTTGGTTGTATTGTATTATTGATCTTTCTATGCTTGGGCTTAAGCCTCTGGCCCATGACGATCTCTATTTTCAAAATGTTAGCACCTGAGTAAACTTAGTTGAACAGCCCTGCTATACTCTGTGTATTCCCACGGGAATCTACAATACACATTCTACAAGACCATGTTGATCAACAGCATTATCATCATCACGCAAGTTCTTTGCAGAACACCATTCACATGCATCTCAGAGAGCTACTTAGTCAAATGCCACCCTTCCCATCTTGTGAACTTTCCCATCCAGACCTTGATATTTGTGTCCACTGTCATGCTGGTTGATCCCTTCCTCTTCTTTCATTCAGCTATCTCTGAGTCACTATGGTTCAGAACTATCATCATCAAGCAACAGGTGCTTTACATAACACCATGCCTGAAAGTCTCTCTTTCTCCAGACCACTGTGCTTACATAGGCAATGCTTCTTCAATGTCTTGTATCCACATCCGGGAAGGTCTGCCTCTGCCCAATTCTCCAGAAACTGTACCCCTTATCACCATTCTCTCCAGACCACCATGCTCTCCTTCTTTCTGCAATCACTTCTTCCTTCTTCCTCATTCTCTTCCTGACATACCTCCTCCACACAACATGGTCCATGGTATTTTGTTCCCACAGACCCTATTACCAAAACACACTACCTAACACCTAAACCTCAAATATCTAAATTCAGCTTTGTTTATGTCAAATTTCAACAAAACTAAACTACACATACACCAACCCACACATGCTTACAGTCAACTATATCCATTTAAATCTACCTTGGTCAAATTACTCCTTCACCAACCAACATACAGTGTGTTTTTGTTTCTAGAATAGGGTGCTGGAACAAAGTAAAATAAATATAAAACAAGTGCTATTACTCACCACAGAGTATCTAGATCTACAGTAGCAATAAATAAGTGATACCCCTAAAAAAAATTTTAAGGGGATGGTACCGTTGTATACCACCATAAAAAAGAAGCCCACTTACTGGGCATCCACATATACCTTTAATAACACCCACACCAACCAACACCTACATCTAATTACATTGACACCCACACATTTGGTATTTTCTGTAAGTTTTTGGAACAAAAATATTTTATAAAGAGATGTCATTACAAAAACATAAACCATTATTCAGTTACATTATATGTGACAAATATTAAAGCAAATCTCCGTCTCTGAGTAAAATAAGTAAATGAACATATAAAAGTGGCTTATGTAAACAGTAAAGTAAAACCATATATCACAATAAGGAAGTCAAAGTTTACCATCTCGTATAATCATAAGAATCAGAGATCAAGTCAGTGTCTTTACCCTGGCCAGGCTACCCTTGGTGTTTAACTCTATGCCACCCTCTATATCTTTTCCCATCACGTCTGCCAGTTTTCCCAAAATTTCTAGTTTATTCCTTCTTACGACATTTCCAAAAATCTGTCTATGTTTAATTTCAATAATCATGCCAAACTGCAAACAATTCTGTGTGCAGACTACACAGACAAAACTAATTTGTGTCTACGTCCTGGCGATGATGTTTCAGGCGTACTTATTCCATTGATTTCTAATTTCTTTTTAAAATCTAGTTCGATGTCTGACCTTGCTTTGTTAACAACTGGGTTCTGGGCATATATATAGGTGGCAACACTGACAATGAAAATGGCGAGCACTGTAAATTTATCAACAGGAATACCAAAAATGAACCAACATAGAACAGCTGTGAACATGAGTTCAAGAGCACTGGCAAACGTCTTCAAGATGGAGTTGAGACTGCGAAGAAAGAGACTGGTGACAATGCCTATGGCTGCATTGTTGATTATTATTGCCAGAACTCTGGGTTTCATAATGGACTCCATGTTTGAAAAAATGAAAGCTTCAGATAACTGACCTGAAAATTATGAATAATATGTGACTGCAACAATGCAACAGAATTTGAAATTGTCATTTCATTGCAACAAAACAATTTATCATTTATATAAGATGGTGAGCTGTTTGAGTTTGCAGCCATTTTATTTATTTGCTATTTTGCCAATAACTGTTTCACCTAGAAGCTATTTCATCTATTAGCTGTGTTATGAATAAGCTATTTTATCTATCTAATGTGTCCTTATTTTCTGCCTCCCTTTTAAATGCCTTTTCCCTCTAAGGAACCCAACCCTCCACAGGAGCATTGACAAAAAGAAAACTGTAAAAGGGGTGGGGGGGGGGGGAATTCTCTTCCCATCTTACCTGCTGTACACATTTTCTAAGAAAGAAAAGTGGGTTGGGAAGGAGGTGGCCTCAGGAAGCCTGATACTAGCTTAAGAGCATAATAATAATACTAAACTGAGCTCTATGGCAAATAAATAAAAGCATTTGAAATAACTGGAAAAGCATAAACAAATACTTGTGAAGACAACTCTTATACATGAATAAAGGGGACCCTTTAGTTCCCTGACAATATCTGAAGTGTGCCCCCCCCCCCCCCACACACACACAAAACTGGGGAAAAGAGATAGCAAGGAGGTCTGAGCCACCCCAGGTTCTGGCATCCTTGGCCCTCCATCACTAAACTTTCTAAACCACTGCAACATTTATTATTGTTTAAAGAGTTAAGCTTCTTCTAATTCCTCGTGTTCTTCTTCTTTGTCTTCTACTCTTCTTCTCTTTCTGTTTAATCTGATTTTTGTGTGTGGACATAATTTGTGCCTGTCTGTCGCAGCTGACCTTCACAGTTAGTTTCAAGGGACACTGCAGAAACTCAATGTTAGGTCTTCATCATTGCCCAGAGGTGGTGCCCCCTGTTGAGCCTATCCTGAACAGCTGCATGCACGCAGGCTGGCTGACTCGCAAGGAAAGACAGGAACAGAATACCGGCGTCTGAGCCATCCAAAGAGTGTTCCATAAATACAGAACTGACACGTGTTGCTCTGGTACTGGGCTCGCTCAGGAAATCATGAAATCCAGCACATGACTTTAACCTCACTTCTGCACTGAGCATGCCCGTCACTGACCTGGAATTTCAATGATCTCAAAATGAGCATCTCCTTCCTCAGCACCGTCCTTATAGTGGACTTACATGTCAAATATTGTTTACTACTATGAAAACCACAATATTTTCAACATAGATGGCATGTGGCAGTGAGTGTGGTGGTCCATGATCATTTCATTTATTTTGGAGAGCATGTATGAGATAAGGGTGCTTTCTCTCATGGTCTTAAACTCTGATGAGTACTGTTTTTAGAATCAGACATGTTAACATTTTTTTTTGTTCATTTTTTTTTTTTTTTCATTTGAAAGACAATCAAAGTAAAGTTGCTGTTTAGTAGGATTTTCCCCTGATAAATATTTGAACCAAAAACTGTCGTTTAGGAATCATCATGTGCCTTGCCAGCTGGCGTAGGCATTCCATGAATCTCCACAGATCTCGGTCTTTGGTGTTCTGGATCAATTCCACTGATGATATTCCTCCATGCCACTGTCTTAAGCCACACACTATCATTTCTCTTGGTCTGCCTCTGCCTCTTCTACCAGTGATCTTTCCAGTCATTACCTTATTCTCCAGTGCTTCTCTTCTCATCATATAACCAAAGAAATCTGTTTGTCTTCTTCTCGTTGTTGTATATAATGTTATACATTCATTTGCCACTTCCAGGTGTTTAGGAATCACAGCCAGCAAATTCCTAATTTCTAATGAGTTTTTCATTTGATACCACTAATAAATTGGTGTTGGGCTGATAGTAACTCCAACATTTTGTTCCAGTTCAGACCCATAATGGCAATCGCCAGTGGGACATGATGTGGACATACTTGGGGTCTCGCATAAGTTTCCATAAGACCATTACGAAGTCCCGTGGCTGTTAATGCGAGGTACAGGATTTTCCCATAAGTACAATACAATGATCTCAATTCCCCATATGTCTCCAACTGAAATGAACACGAAGTATTTCAATTTCTTAGAATAATGGTGCACAAACAGATCAGAACAGTCTAAAGAGAATGGAGCAGTGAGGATTGATTCAACAGTGTAGTGCCTAGTAAAATTTGTTGGCGTCTGTGTCTTAGGTGTTGTGAACACACTTCATAATGCCAGGCTGCCGGGCTCGATCCCAGGTGCAGATGGTTTGTCTTGCACTGATTTTGACAGTGGTACCAAGAGCTGACCGTGCAGAAAGCTAAATGTAAAATGTGCTAGAAAACTATTAAAAAAAACTACAAAACCTAACAAATGCTGGGGCTGGTTCTGGAACGTTCTGTAAAGGATTTGCAACTAACTAGTATCATTTATGTGATGGTCAAACAGCCATCGGTTTAAACCCATATAAAGACAGATTTTTTAAACTAAGGGCCAGGGCCAGCACAGGATATAATGGCCAGAAATATAGAAAAGAATTATAATTACAGGAAGTAACTGGTAATTTTTGGCTTTATTTCAATAGACTTGAATCTCCTTCCCAGATCAGAAGCACTGGTGGCATATACCATTAAAACAAAAAAAAAACCACAAACAGTCCATAAAAGACTATCACAAATGAAGCAATTATGATTATTCTTGAAACAAAACACAGTGACAAAATTATTTCCTAAAGCATACCTCGAACAGCCAATAACAGGATATTGCACACTATGGAGTTTATGTACATGAAGACATTGGCCATCATTATATGCACATCTGCACCGGTGTCCTTCAGTAGAAATTCATTGTAGACACCAGCAAAACAAGATGAGAAAACCTGGATGGAAAACACTACATTTTTTAGAATAAATGCCCAATAAGATAATGTATACCTCCCCCCTCCATGTGCACTCTGGGGCCCTATTTGTGTGGGGAAGGGGGGAATAGACCCACTGCCTCCCTAACAAGCATATCGTAGGAGTCGACTGACTGGTAGTGTATCTGCCTGACAGGTGAAGAACCAACAATCTGCCATATCTGTAAAATAGATGTGCACACAAAACTCAAGTTTTTGAACGGGACTCGAGTCCAGAAGTGGACAAACAACCAAAACTTTCTGCCTGAGTTTATAGCAAGTGAATGCTAACAAGAAGCAAAAGAAGAATTAAAGCTGGAAAATGAAAAACTTATTTTATTTATCTGATAGTTCTTGCCATGTGGGGTAGATGATCACAAATGCTTATCCCCGTCTGCCTCATATACTGTCAAAGCAAAACATGAAATATACAGTGAGATCATACAGAGAAACAACAAAAACAATGGACAATTAAAAAAAAAGATCCTCGTGTGGGTTCTGGGGTCCCAATGTAGGGAAAACAAGAAAAGACCCACTGCTTCCCAACAAGCATGTCATAAGAGTCTACTAACTGGGATCTTCCTTCGAAGTCGGAGTGTATCTGCCTGAGCAGTAAGGAACACCTGCTCCCTAATAAGACCAGTAAACCTGGATGTACACATAAAACTCAGGCCCTGGTACAAAGTCAAAGTCCAGATGGACCAACAATCAGGACTTTTCGCCGGAGCTTACAACCGGTGAACAAAGAAGACAAAAAAAGAAGGAAACAGCAGTAACAGACTTGTCATGCCTGGAAAACTATAGGAGTCAAAGTCATTACTCTTAATCATCATCAGGTACCTTGCCAACTGGCCTAGGTGATCATGGCTCTCCGAGATCTTCTGCAGCATGTATCAGTTTGTGTGCTGACATACCTCCATGCCATGCAACAAGACAGTCAAAAATCTTCTCTCGTTGTCTTCCTTTATCCCTCCTTCCACAGATCTTTCCAGTGGTCACAACATGTTCCACTTTCCCTCTTCTCATAACATGGCCAAATAATTATGACTGTCTTTTTTTGCTGTCTGTGATAAGTTGTCTTCGGGCTCCTGCCTCTTTCAAAACCTTTTGGTTGCTCTTTTTAGCTGTCCAAGGTATTTTAAGCATTCTTCTGTAAAAACACATATCTGAGGCCTCAAGAAATTGTATGGCCTGCCTACCGATTGTCCAAGATTCACAGCCATATGTATTTCTAAAATACTCTGGCGTAATGCTGACCACATTACCCACCTATGCCCGATACGCCTGAGGCGTGAAAAGGGATCTTTACTTTACTTTTGTTATCTTTTATGAGGGCATGTAATTTCTGTTCAGATAATATTCAAATAGTTTTCAACTGTAAATGCAAACAATAAGCAGGTGTGAAAAGTTGAGATGAAACTGGATAGTGAGTCACCCAGGAGAGCCTGAGATGTGATATAAAGTGTGAGATATTATTACTGCTTAAAGTGTATCCAATTTACAGTAGGTCTGTGACAAGACAGAGCCAAGAGACACATCAAAGGGCAAGAAGAATTGAGAATCTGGAGAAGGGTGATCTAAAGTAAACTTGTAAGCAAAGTCCAGCCATATCACAAGGCTCCTACACTTTAGCACTGATGATCTTTTTCTTCTTCTTAGCAATCACTGGCTGTAAACTCTGGGTGGAAGTTCTAATTTTTGGCCATTCTAGGACTTTGGTTCTGATTCTCTTCTTCTTCTTCTTTTTGCATTTGGTTTTGTATGCTCAGATCAGAATATCAGGTTGGTTGCCTTGATGAACTCACATGTCCGTAGCAGGTCCTTCATGGTTCCTAATTAGCTTGCTCTGCTCACTTTGCGCTTTTCGAAGTTGTAGGCAGAGTGGGCAGGTCTGCAGAATGTGCTCAGGTGTTTGTGGTCCTGTCTGATAGGCACACAGTGAGGACTGTACAATCTTTATTTTATGCATGTGGTAGTTGAGCCTGCAGTGTCTTGTTCATAGACGGAAAATTGATGTATGCTGCTTTCTGTTGAATCTGCTAATGGTGTCTTGTGAATGTTTACTGTTAGTTTGTTCTGATCAAGAACTTGAGCTTTGCATGCACATCCATTTTACACATCTGGCTTTTCTGTATGCAGACTGTTGGTTCATTGCCTCCCAGGCAGATGGACTCCAGATGTAAAGTAAACACTCTTAGTTACCTCCTATGACATGCTTGTCAGGGGTGCAGTGGGTCTATTCTTTGTTCTCCAAAGTGGAGACCTGGAACCCATACAAGGAAGCAGTGATGATGATGATGAACTTATATAAATAAAATAACAGCCCTCTGGCCGTACCACCCACTGAATTAACTCTGTCTAATTTTATAATGTAAGATGTGAGAAAATGTGAGATACAAGTGGGAGAAAAACATCAAGAGATGGGCGAATGGGACAGAGTGTATTACTAAGACAAGTGACAGACTGTGTTGTATATCCATTGCAGGTCACCTTCATTAAGGAGATGACACCTGATTGACTCACTGAATTTTATAAACCCAAGAACAGTAAATGACAACTGCTTGACCTCACCTGCAACATGATAAAAAACAGGTGTATATCAAGAAAATCAAACAAAGAAGTCGAAGTTGCTGGGACTGTCTCGCCACCGGATACATCATGATTAACTTCCTTTATGATGCAGCCAACAGTTAAAAGTAACAAGGACATCCACTGGATATGGCTCAGCTTCTTTTTGAAGACCAACTGCAAACAACAAAATAATCATATTAACTCTCTGAGCCCCAACAAATGCATCATGCGTAATTAACTGCTGCCAATGTGTTCCAAACAAAGCAAGATGTGTTCTGATTTCGTGATAAACAGCCTCTCATCCTTCATCTTGATCTTCTAGTACCCTGTAGGGTCAAGGTGTGACAAACATTTGTTCTGGAACAACCAATGAAGCATCTTCAGTGTTTCACAATAAACTTTTAACATTATTGTGGTCCCTAGTGCCATTAATTCTGTCAATAAAATCTGATTTTGTGATAAACATCATCTCATTTCATCTTGATCCTCTTGTACCCTGTGTTGAGATGTGACAACTATTTCTTCTGGAACACCCAATGAAGCATCTTCAATGTTTCACAATAAACTTTTAACATTATTGTGGTCCCTAGTGCCATGAATTCTGTCAATAAAATCTGATTTTGTGATAAAAATCATCTCATTGTTTATACAATTCAACAAAGGGATGTTTTATGTAATATTAGGTTGTATGTAGCCCCCATGAAAGTAATAGATATATACTTTATTCTTTGTGGATAAGTAACTTTCAGTCTTATGAGCTTTTACTTAGACTGAAGAGATAACAGGAAACAATACAGTACAATAAACAAAACTACACTCACGCATGTGTACTCAGTGATTCAATGAGTATGATCTTGAGAGTTTAAGCAGCTTCTAATTGGGGGAAATGGCTTGAGTCATTACAGAAGACCAATGTGCTTGGAGTCACCTTTATTTTTGTTCCGGGATACGCAGGCGTCAATGGAAATGAAAACAGCTGACAGGTTGGTAAACCTATGCATCATGCTGGTATTTTTAATGTCCTCCGAGAAATCTGAAGGGTGAAGGACTTTGGGGGCAGTGAATCTGCATCATTCCCCAGAATGATAGAGTTGGGAGTTAGGATCGGCATAGCAAAAAACGAAACACACACCAGGCACATCAGACGATGTGTTAATGAACATAAAACTGGTACTATTAGCCACCGGATGCTGGGGTTCATACTAATGGGAGGATCTGAGCACCTACGGACAATGATGATAACCCAAATAACTAACTAATACAGTACCATAAAACAGTGAAAATGTAAAAAAAAACTTTTTGTTTAAACGCCTTGAGTAGCACTTGGCTTACTGTTTAACTTTCAATCCCAAACACTGCACCATATGTACGGTATATTATTCATGTGCACCCGTCAACAAACATGTTGATATATATGTGTACGTCTTAAGTTTAGTCAGACAAACTAAATTAATACAACTACATAAGTCACCCACAATGTGCTGTGTACTGAGACCCTGAGGATGCAGTACACCCAAACTGTTGCTGTCTTCATTTACTGCTTCAAATAGACATCAGCTAGGACTTTGAAGAAAACTTCCCAGTTGGACTCTTACAACACGCTTGCTGGGGAGGCAGTGGGTCTGTTCTTGTTTTCCTCAAAGTGGGGTCCTGGAACCTCCACGGGGAACAGTGTCATCAAAACCAGCAAATGTGAGAAGGAGACTAAGTATGCAAGGATACACTTAAGTATGCAAGGATACACTTAAGTATGCAAGGATACACTTGAGCAAGGATAAAGTATTTAAGACAGGCAAAGATACACTTAAGTTTACACTTTCTTTCAAGGATATACTGGTGGTTTGCATGCAAATACACTTAAGGCAAGCTGCCATGGATGTAGCAAGCTTAAAAGGATTCACTTAAAGTATGCAAGGATGCATTGGTATGGAAGGATTTGTGGGTTCAGGTATGCAAGATACACTTAAGGAAAGGATGTTGCTTTACTTAAAAAAGTGACCTTTTTTTTTTTCTGGCTCAAAGGTATGGGAGTTGCCAGGTGTCGGCTACCCAGCTGAGGATTGAAGATTGTGGGTTCACCTGACGGTGGCTTTGACAGTCAACCCAGCCTTGAAGTACAAGTTCCTGGGAAGTAAAGGTGGCCAGCAAGATGCTGACCATATAACCCACCAAGTGCCAATGAATCTATGAAATATAGGTCTAGTACTGTTTGCACAATATGACTGAAGGCGTGCAAAAACGTCCTTTACGTTTTTTAAAATTATGCAATGGTATGAAGCAGGTGAGTTTCTAACAGCTACACCATTGAGGCTCCTAAAGGGCCTTTTAGTTGACTTTATTTTCACTGACCTGAAATGTGATGCCAGTGACCACAACTCTGAACTGAAGCAGCAGGTAGTAGGTGGTGGGGTCATATGCTGACAAGTTGACAAACTGCAAGTTGTTGTACAGGCAGTACAGGACCGCGGGGATCAGATACAAAAACAGCACTGAAGAAATGATTCATTGAAATGTGTCACCTTGATTATCTTGTACCCTAGTAACAATGAATACATATGCCAGAGTTCAGATTAATTCAGATTACGAACTAATGTCATAGAACTCTGGACATTCCCATAAGCACTCCATCCTTATCCTCAGCAGCCAGTGCAGAGTTCCAGTTACCATGGTGCTAGTAGCAGGTGGAACTGTTTGTCAGTCTTTTTTTTTCCCTGAGTGTTGAGCACAGGCCAGATCCCCTGGTAACTCCCAGCTACACCATTCACTTCAGAGTGTTATGATCTCTTTGTGCCTCCACAAGGGCTTTGATAACATATTAAATTGTCATGCATCAATTCACAAGGTTTCTCAAGATGCTTTGTGAGTCTGCTTCAATCACAACAAGTGTGTGCAACTGGTTACACAATTATTCTATGTTATTCTCAAATCAACCTCTGACAGGCTGGTAAAGAAATCTAAATACATACAAAAGTTACATACTGCATTACTTTTTCCATATGGTCACCACCTAACATTCGGTGACTGTCAGACCGTAACACAAGATTGTGTAACCCGAATCAAGGAACCCGCTGCCAGGGTACTTAACCTAGTTTCTCACTCCATCCAATGGTGAGCATTCTGTGGCTTACTGTTTTTCATTGACCAATGAAGCTTTTTCAGTGTTTCACAATAAACTTCTGACATTACTGTGGTCCCTTGTGTCATGAATTCTGTCAATAAAATACCCTTGTGGTCTCAAAAGATTGTAACCATCATTTTTCTTTGAGAAAATGTTTGCTTGAATTTTCTGGGCTTGAAAATCACACCATGAATTTAACAGCCGGCAGAAAGGTGATAAGAGTGTCTATGTTTATTCATTCGCAATTCGTGACCCACTAAACAAAAGGGACTGTAGGTCTATGTATTATGAGCTAAAAGACTACTGAATGATGCAAACAAATGATTTTTTTTTCCAAACCATCAAACTGGAGGTTAATTTTGGCATAGCCCTTATATCACTGAATATAAAATAAAGTCTGTAAGATATATTTTGATAAGATGTAAATTTTTGGTTTTTATTAAGTGAGGAGCAGTTGGCTGAATGGTTAGAACGCTGGGCTCATAAGTTGGAGACTCGGGTTCAAATCCTCTGTAAGGCTGGGGATTTTTTCTGACGGGGGCAAAATAAAATTATGTCTCTTAATGTGGCTGAAATAATTTTTTAAATAGTGTGTTAGCTACAAACAAATACTGTCTTGTCTAGTATTGTGTACATTTTAAAGTCTGCGATCGACAGACACAGTTCATTAAAGAGTACCAGATGAGATGGTTTGGCCATCTGACAAGAATGCCCTGGTACTAACTGTCACAGAAATCCAAGCCGAAGAAAAACAAACACAGAGCAAGAAAAAGACGATGCAAAAGATGGAACTAAGACAACAAGAACAGCCTCCCAACAAATCAATGAAGTAATTGAAGTCAAGAAGAAGAAGAAGAAGGTCGGACAGATATAAATTAAATATGGTCATATGGTAAAATAGGAGTGGCTGGATGAGCGGTTAGGAACACTGGGCTCTTGTGCAGAAGACCCAGATTCAAATCCTCTGTAAGGTTGTGGACCTTTTCTGCCAGAAAAAAAAATACCGGCAGTTCATGGCGACAGCATTAGCCAGGCAGCCCTAAATTATCAGACTCAAAGACTCGGTGGCCTACACTCCGAAAGTGGTCAACACAGGCAGTAACAGCCATTTGTCAACAGTTTGAATGGAAAATATCATAGATAATAACAGTAACTTTCCTGTGTGGGTTCCGGGGTCCTATTATAGGGAAAACAAGATTAGACCCACTGCCTACCCAAAAGCATGTGGTAAGAGTCGACTAATTGGGAGCTTTCTTCGAAGCCAGAGTGCATCTGCCTGAGAGGCAAGGAACCAGCAGTCTGCATACAAATGAGTCAGATCTGTAAAACAGATGCACACGCAACACTTAATTCTGGAACAGGACTGCAGTCCAGAAGTGGATGAACAACCAGAACTTTCTGCTAGAGTTTTCAGCTGGTGAACGTGAAGAAGAAAAAGATGACAGTAACCCACATCGTCCATGGCTGCTAACTTACCTTTTTTATAAGTGACTATATCAGCAAACAGCCGTTTTACTGACTGACTGAAAAAACAAAAATTTTGAAACATTTAAAACATGACATTGTTAAGAAGTAAGTTAAGGACCCTTTTCCACACCTTTAGGCGTAAAGGGCATATAGGGATAGACCTATATTCTAATGACCAATTGGTATAAGATGGGTAATGTGGTCAGCATCACACCGGCCGCATTTACTTCCCAGGACTGGACCCGGTACCCACAGGCTGGGTAGACCTGTTAATTTAAAATAAACTGCACACACAAAAAATTAGGATATCAGCTTTCTCAGTACCAACAAACTCATCATGAGTTTACTGATTACTTCTTGAATTATACACTTCTTTACTCCTCATGATATTCACCTGCTGGCCTGGAGCTCTAGGGTTCAAATCTGCATTAAGGCAGATTTCTTTTAAAATTGACCTTGACTCCCATTTACCCAGCCTAAAACTGGCAGCAGGTAATATCCTGTGAAATAAAGGCAGCAACCATTTTTTTTTTTGGTGTAAAGTTTTTCTCTCTCCAGATTTGCATTCTGTAGGATTAACATCTACAAACCCTGTTCAACTATAATAGCTATATAAACAGGACGTTGCAGAACCAATTTTTGGGTTACGGTTTTTCTAAGCTAATTTATTTTCAGTAGTTTGCCACTGCTTTCTCAACGGGCAGCTCTTGATACAACTGTCAAAACCAATGCAAAGTGGTCTGCTGTTCAGAAGTCAGAGAAGATGGCACTATATCAAAAACAGCAGAAAATCACCAAACAGGTACTAAAATAGGAAATAAAGGGGATTAAGGAGGCAAGGATGTGCTTCAAGCTCTACAGTCTTGTTTGTAGACATGCTGAAGAACACTAGTAGAACAAAAATGAAGATGACAAGAAAACTGAAACATTTTACTTCACCTCAACTTCTTTTTTTCTGCTTCTGACCTTAAAAGAGTTTTTGATATATTGTGGTTTACAGCTAGACTGTGACATTCGTACTTTTCAGTCCAACAACACAACTGATTTTAGCAAACCCCTTATTAGTCATCCCTCCCCTCCCCCAAGAGATCCTGGAATCCAGACAGAGAACTTGATTCAGATAAATCACCTTCTTCAGCTTTCACGTCACTGAGATTCATTGCTGCAGATATCACCCATCTCTTTTCATCTCTGTGATTAGACTGTGATGGATTTGATTCCTCTACAACAAGTACAATGAGATACGGACTGATCAAAGGGCATTTCATTCCCACCCTATGCTACCAGTGCCAGACATGGTCACTCACAATAAAACATAAAAGAAAAATGGAAATGAGGTGTCTAAGAAAGACTGTAGAAGTGACCAGAAGAGATAAAAGCAGGATTGAGGTCAGACGAAATAAAGTCGGCACAGAACTAATTCTAAATTACATAGAAAGACAGCAAATCAAATGGTTTGCCCACTTGGAGAGAATGCCTCCTAATGCTATACCATACAAGGCATATACCAAAAGAGGAGAAGGACGTTAAAAAAAAAGAGGTAAACCAAGAACAAGATGGGAAGATAACATCAGAGAAACTCTACAACACCATAAAGTGTCTATGGTCGAGGCAGTCAGAAGAGCATGAAGCAGGACCTTATATTTCCTTCGACACCTGAAGCGGTAAAAAAGGACGTGAAGAAGAAAAACAGATTAGCTTTCTTCTTCCGGATCGTAACTCCAAAAGTCTGAAGGTCATTTAAATCAATCCAATTTCACGCTTATATATCCTTATCTAATGTTGGGGAGATGTGAACTATTAGATAACGATATCTGTTTTTAAAGCATAATGAAGTTTTACAAAGGTTGTAATGCTGACTGGCCCACACAAATAAAAATGCAAAAACTTTAACAAATGTTTAAATTTTTTTTTTATTTGCATGAAGACAAACATTTTAAAATAGCTGCACAACGCTCTTACTCTTTGATAAACACCAAGCTAGATGCTACCAGTTTGGCCACTTCTGTAAGCAATACTACAGTAACTGTGTTGTAACTGTAACTGTTATCCTCTGATTTGCTTGCTGTAACTAAAATACCTGGCAATGTAGAAAAGAATTCATAACTGAGATAAATTAACTACACATATCTTCAGTTTTCAATTTCTCATACAAAGAAGTGTGACCCATTAAAATTAGATCACTAAAATCTGAGTCTGTGATATTCAAAAAATGGCAAATGGGCTTATTGCATGCACTATTACCAGCCTGTTATGACAGACTACTTTCATCAACGATGAGTTGCCAATTTTATAGGTGAATTATTAGTGTTGACACCTCTATTGGTTGCCTTATGCATTGACTGCATGTGCGAGCTTCAGAATGTTTCTAGCTTTCAAATAAAGTGAAGGCAATTTTGTCTGATTTTCACTGGCACAGTAACAGTGATTTTGGGGTGACACAATTGTAGTGAAGTTTGAACAATAGTTATAATTACAAAAACTGAGAAATGATTAGAAGTAGACACTTTAACTCATGCTGCACCAAATAACTCATCACAGACTGGCTCAACACAGATATTTTTTCACTTCTACTTCTGTCTTATCAATTAATATACTAACATAATCTTTCCCAGCATTTTATCCATAGGTATGATAGACTTAACTTGAGTTCCTTGGGTTACTGCACTCACCACTCTGCCCCAATTGTTTCTGTTACTACTCCTATTCAATAGTATGATATTATTGTTATAACCTGCCTACTTCAAATACTGATTTTTAAATTAGCTGTGAATCCTCTAGGCTCTATAATAAATAGCAATGGAGACAGTTTGACAATTAAAAGGACGATGGCCATAGCAATACAAAGATTAAACAGCCTAAAAAGTATACAATTAAGCACCAGCAAGGAGATCAAAATTAGAATTTTAAGAGTATGCATCTTCCCTGTATAAACATACGGATGTCAGTCATGGACTATCTCCCAGTCCTTAAGAAAGAGAATAGGGGCTTTTGAGCTGAAATGTTATATAAATTTTCTCATAATATCTTGGATGGAAAAGAGGAGAAATACTAACATCTTGAAAAATCTGAACATCAATGAAAATTGGCTAATAAACAGCTTCCTGTCTCGGAAGCTGAAATATTTCGGTCAAATCCAGCGCCACGACGGATTGGAAAAAATTATAGCAGAAGGCATGGTACCAGGAAGGAGGGGCAGGGGCCGAACAACACGAAGATGGGCACATCATAAGTGACTCCTTGAGTATGAAAGTACATGTGGTGGGACCATCCCCAGCGATTCTGCAAAGGACCTGCTACATGATGATGATGATATGCTAGGACCATCCCCAGTTTTTTTTGCATTTTTGTTTATTTTAGTTTCATGTTCAATAGTTGACCAATGCTCACTTTATGGTCAGCATGTTCTCGATACCTCTGTCAAAACCAATGCAAGGTGGTCTACTACCAAATGCCTAATGTTGGGATCACACTCCCAGCATCTCTTGAATTAAGAAGCACTTTTGCTACTCCCAAACGACAGCCACTGACTAAATACTGATACAATTACTTGAAGTTACAACTGCTTAGAATAATGATTTTCTTGAGTGTGTTTCAGGGCTTCATTGCCCCCCCCCCCCCCCCCACCCCCCAACAAGCATGTTGTAAGTGACAATAGACACACACACACACTTTTGTAAGGATTAGAAATATATTACGTTCTCAGCTGCCTTTTTTATTTTATTCCACCCTCTCTGCCATTTTTTTGTGAGGAAAATTAATGCAAGCCAAGTCTGTCAAAATGCATGGGCCTAAAAGAAACCAAAGCAGCCAAACTACAGTACACTGGCATCGCAGTATAACAGGTGATAAGTAGCCAAGATACAGACACTGGCATCGCAGTATAACAGGTGATAAGTAGCCAAGATACAGACACAGACATCGCAGTAAAACAGATGATAAGTAGCCAAGATATAGACACTGGCATCGCAGTACAACAGGTGATAAGTAGCCAAGATATAGACACTGGCATCGCAGTATAACAGTTGATAAGTAGCCAAGATACAGACACTGGCATCACAGTATAACAGGTAATAAGTAGCCAAGATACAGACACTGGCATCGCAGTACAACAGATGATAAGTAGCCAAGATACAGACACTGGCATCGCAGTATAACAGATGATAAGTAGCCAAGATACAGACACTGGCATCGCAGTATAACAGATGATAAGTAGCCAAGATACAGACACTGGCATCGCAGTATAACAGGTGATAAGTAGTCAAGCTACAGCGCATTGGCATCGCAGTACAACAGATGATAAGCAGCCAAACTACAGCACATTGGCCTTGCAGTATAACACGTGATAAGCAGCTAAACTACAGCACATTGGCATTGCAGTATAACAAGTGATAAGCAACTAAACTACAGCACATTGGCCTCGCAGTATAACAGATGATAAGCAGCTAAACTACAGCACATTGGCCTTGCAGTATAACAGATGATAAGCAGCTAAACTACAGCACATTGGCACAGCAGTATAACAGGTGATAAGCAACTAAACTACAGCACATTGGCATTGCAGTATAACAGGTGATAAGCAACTAAACTACAGCACATTGGCATTGCAGTATAACAGATGATAAGCAACCAAACTACAGCACATTGGCATCGCAGTATAACAGGTGATAAGCAACTAAACTACAGCACATTGGCATTGCAGTATAACAGGTGATAAGCAACTAAACTACAGCACATTGGCATCGCAGTATAACAGGTGATAAGCAACTAAACTACAGCACATTGGCATCGCAGTATAACAGGTGATAAGCAACTAAACTACAGCACATTGGCATCGCAGTATAACAGGTGATAAGCAACTGAACTACAGCCCATTGGCATTGCAGTATAACAGGTGATAAGCAACTAAACTACAGCACATTGGCATCGCAGTACAACAGGTGATAAGCAACTAAACTACAGCACATTGGCATCGCAGTATTACAGGTGATAAGCAACTAAACTACAGCACATTGGCATCGCAGTATAACACGTGATAAGCAACTAATCTACAGCACATTGGCATCGCAGTATAACAGGTGATAAGGAGCTAAACTACAGCACATTGGCATCACAGTATAACAGCATATTGTGTGACATTAAACAAACACACACACTTTTGTAAGGATTAGAAATATATTACATTCTCAGCTGCCTTTTTTATTTTATACTACCCCTCTGCCATTTTTTGTGAGGAAAATTAATGCAAGCCAAATCTGTCAAAATTCATGGGCCTAAAAGAAAAAGAGTTAATAAAGTAATACCTGCTTGGTTCCGACAGAGCAAATGGTAGATTATTAGATTATAAATCACAGACTGACTGCATTATTCCAGATAAATACTGCAAGACATTAAAAATAAAATAATGACGTAAAATTAATCAACTGTCTTCAACAAATACCCAATTCAATTCATTGCTTTCTTTTCCACTATAAGTAACTACACTAAACTTTACTTATACTTAATTACTTACAGTAGCACTCGGTGGCACTACTTGTCTTAACTAATCTTTTCTTTACCTTGATTTATAAACAGTCCCATGTAAGAAACAAATACAATAAAGCTCAATGTGTTAGGGAAAAGGTCTGATGAAAAAAAAGCCATGGTGAAAATAATGAAAGCTGTTGTCTGAGAGAGGTATAAACAGAAACTACGCGAATGGGTCTCCCGAACAATGACTGCTGCCCATTGTTTATTGTGGTCATTATTTTGGTTACCCACGTCTCAGCTGTAGGAGTTATGTCCCTTGACATAGGTAACACTTCCGGAGTCAGAGTTTGTAATTCATGAAATCTTATGAATTTGAATTATAAACTCTAACTTCATGAAATCAAATCATGAAATCTGGTTGGGGGGGGGGGGGGGGGGGGGGGGTGGGGGGGGGGGGGGCGCTGAGTGGTCTCGAAGCATGGCGTCCGCTTCGAGTGCTGAAGGTCCCTGGTTTAGGCCGCGGTGAAGGCTAGAATATTGTTTTTGGAGTTGATAATCTACCCAAAGTATTTCATGATCCTCGCCTGTGCTACAGAGTCCGTGCACTGCGCTGAGATTTTTCGGACTTAGGCGTGAGTTAGGAGTAGAACGGAGCAATCATGAGCTACTACCCGTGTGCTATGATGTCGATCCGTTGTCTAAACCATAAAGTAAAGAGAAGATTCCTTTTCACACCTTTAGGCGCATCGTGTATATGGGAAAAGCACCCATATTCTTACAGACCAATTGGCACTGGATGGATAATGTGGTCAGCATTACGCCGGCAGTCTTTATTTTCTCATGACATACATCCTGGTACCCATTTAGGCTGGGTCAACCTGCAACGCCCCGTACGGTGATAAAAATCCACACAGCCAGCTGTAGGTTTCCATCTCGATACGTTGGAATTACTAGTCGGAATCGCATGGCCTAACCAGTCATGAGATATTAAAACTGCAAAAGCGGATGAATCAGAGAATGGTAGATGTTAGATAGATAAAATTACCCTGACTGCCAGGTCCACTCAGCCTTAAATTAGGCGTATAGTGCTACACTTATATTTTATAGACCAAGTGGCACCTGATGTTGTCAGAACTTTACGTCAGTGGCGAAATGGTCAAGCCGTTTACCTTGCGCTCTGAAAGTCATGGGTTCGTTTCCCGGTTGCGTCTTCCAGATCACGAGCGCAACTTTTACCGAGATCCATGGGATTCGTCGCCGGAGGCATGCGTATAGCTAGCTGTTCTGCAGAGAGAAACGGAGCGCTAGAGGTTCCGGGTTCAATGCCTGATAAGGGCTGAGATTTTTTCACGTGGACGAACTTCTAGTAATTCCCCCTGGTCTCTGGGTTGTGAGATCGAACGCCCGTGTGTATTGTTGCGCCCTAGTGAAAATTGTATTGTTCGGAGCTAAAATCTACGTAAAGGATCCTCGCCTGTGCTACAAAGCCTATGCACTGTTGAGCTTCTTCTGAAATCAGACTTGAAAAAAAAAAAATAGCACTGACGGCTACCCGTGTGCCCGGTCTGTTGTTCAAAATTCAGAGCTAAAAGATCTACTCAAATGACAGATTCGTCTTACAGCATCGCCTGTGTTGCATTAACAAAGCCTGTCTGCCAAACTGTGCTCAGAAACTGGTATTTCCAGATAATCACGCTATTTTGCCTGACAGGGTTTGAGAGAATAAAAAATTGGAGCAATGAAGTGCTTTCATGAGCCTTACTACCGCGGCGTGTGTGCCATGACAACCCCCTTGATTGCCATCCTACTTTCTGTTTGTGTCAAGCACGGTCAAATGTCTTTGAAATATGCAAAGTAATCTAGGAATAAAACGTATTATTAGTTAGATATAGTATTAAACAAGTCACCAAGGGACAGTTTTTTGTTATTTGAAGCAGCATTTGCCGGTAGCCCTGTATGTAGCACAACTAAAAGCTTTCTGGGATCTCTCGGGTAACCTCTGGCCAAACTGGGTGTTTATCGTTGTATATGTCCTGGTGGGGTAAACAACTGGACTTTTCGGATTGCCAGGATAATCACGCTATTTTGCCTGACACATGGGTTGGAGGTCGTGAGAATACTTCGTGGAAATTGTGTTACCAATGAAGTGCTTTCATGAGCCCCGCCGCTTAGCGGCGCGGGAGATACTCGCCGGAAGTCCGCAATTTTAAGTCGCCGAAAGTCCACAAATCATGTGAGTGAGGCCCTGTTAGGGTATATTTCGGCCTAAATAATTTAAGACCGATGTGATAGCCAACAGATATGTCAACCCCCCATTGATTTTTCGCCCCTAATCCTACTTTCTGAGAGCAGGTTGTGTCTGCAGGCACGGTAAGTGATATGTCTTTATTTATCATATGCAAAACAACAATAACAGTGTTCACTAAAAATAATAAACAGAAACGATTATAAAAGTAAAGCTACTTTAAATCTGGGCGTATGGGCTATAGTTTTACTATATATGGGTGATTACACCATCAAGTCCGGCCGCATTTACTTCTAAGGGGTGAAACTGGTACCTACTCAAGGCTGGGTCGACCTGAGAGCCAAGGTCATTATTGAAAAAAAAGTCCGGCTCCGTCAGAATCCTAACCTATGACCTTCTGATCCACAGAAGAGCGTCGTTCTACTTATGTGGTATCTTTACGCCATGTGTCGCTTAGATGTTTAGTACTGTTTACCCGAAAATAAGACTTGATTTGAAAATAAGTCCTAGCTTGATTTTCGTGGATGCTCATAATATACGCCATAACTGAAAATTGTAATCCCTAATGTTGCTCGTCAGCATGACGGACGTATTTCTTTCGTCCGTGAAACAAAATAGGCAAATGTATTTAATTATTAAGTAATAAACGTACCTCTTTTAACTTATTGAATAAATGGGGTGTGTTAAACTTAAATAAATGGTTTGCACTTTGTTGTCCCCGGATATAAGCCCTAATGTTATATCGCTTATACCACATGTTTGATGTCCTGAGATTTCGTGGGGTAAAGCACCTTAGCAACAGTGGCTGAGGGGACGCAACATTCCGCATAACGGAGCCACTAAAATATCGAGGCCGAAAATATACCCTAACAGGGCCTCAGTCACATGTAAATTGCGGACTTCCGGCGACTACCGCCACCACCGAAAGTATCACTGGCCCCGCTACAGGGGAGCTGAATAGTCATAGACCACGAGGTAGACCAAGAAGACGACGAAGAGATAACGTCCAAACAAACCTGCAAACACTAGGTGTCACCAACCGGAAAGAGAAGGCCAAGCAGAGTGATGAGTGGTGATATCTGCAGCAATGAACTTAACGCTCGACACGCTGAAGAAGATTATTACCTTGTAAGACATGGCACGGCAGGTATAAAGGACTCCGTCATAGAAATTGATTCCAAAAAGGGCTTCACAGTTCAAAATAGCTGGAAACCACTGCTTTAAAGTATTTCGGTTGTGATTCCTACGTCAGCGAAAGTATTGTATCGAGGTCCGGGGGTCATTAAATGGTGTCTCGTCTCCAGGTTGCAGTAGATCGTTTATCTTTGTGATTATCGCATGAGGCTTAAATTTCTTCCACGGTGCCACTCTTATACCACTGTCCGAAATGCCACGAGAATGTCACTACATAAATATTTATGTAAAACAAGTTTAGGGCCTTTTTCACACCATATGTTAATTGCGTATCCTTTACATGAGGTTGCAGAACCACCCCAACAGCCCCTGGCTGTTGTGTGGTTTTTCTAGGCAAATTTACGTCCAGTAGTTTGTCATTGCTTTCTGGGCGGTCGGCTTTCTTGATACCACTGTCAAAACCAACGCAAGGCGCATGGCCTGCAGCTGGGATCGAACTCGGGCATCCCGGCATTACGAAGCGTTCGCATCGACTTAACCACAGAGCCGACACACCATATGTACAACCTGTATATGGTGCGAGATCCATATTTGTGCTCCTGTTTATACACAAAGAAAACATTACTAAAAGTCGACGAAGGGACGCTCATCCTTATATTAAAGTTCTTTATTTAAAAAATATATATATGTACTAAAAACATAAATTACAAATAACTAAAGTTAGTTAGTTGCGCATCCTTTACGTTGCAGAACCAGCCCCAGAATTGTGTGGCTATTGTGGGTTTTCTAGGCAAGTTTACGTCCAGTAGTTTGCCATTATAATAATAGTAACTAAAGATATCATCAAAATAATATGGTGTGTATAAACAAAACAACATGCATGCATAATTTATTGATTCTTTTTCTGCGTCAATCAATCGACTAGTTAGTCCTCTACTTGTTAAGTTCGCTGTTTATCCTTTACAGAACACTGTAGAACCAACCCCAGCATATTTGGCTGTTTTTCTAGGCAAGTTTACATCCAATAGTTTGCCATAGCTCTCTGGACAGTCGGCTTCTTGATACCACTCTCGAAACCAACGCAGGGCGCAAAGCCCACCGCTAGGATCGAACCCGGCATTATGAAGATCGTTCGCAACGCCTAAGCCACATACACTGACCCCTTGTTATTACCTTATTACCTAAAGGTTTTACTATACCATACTGCGTTTTGGAAATCTGTTTGGACAACAGACCAACAGATCCAAGTGCACTCCTTCGAACGGCAACCCTAGGGGACGCAATCTATTGTCTACGGCGACCAGACGGGAGTCGGTTGTTAAAGAAATGACATGTTACAATTGTGTCCTCCTAGGTCAGTGGTTCTCAACCTTCCTAATGCCACGACCCTTTAATACAGTTCCTCATATTGTGGCGACCCCCAACCATACAATAATTTTCGTCGCTATTTCACAACTTCAATGGATATGTGTTTTGCGATGGTCTTTGGCGACCCCTGTAAAAGAGTCGTTCGACCCACTCACAAAAAGTCACCACCCTTAGGTTAAGAACCGCTGCCTGAGGTCACCTATCGAAGGAGTGCCGATCCCAGATACCCCATTCAACCTCCAAAAATGTTATAATTAGGCCACCCGAAACGATTACTCCAGCCAGGTGTAATATGAGTCCTGTTTGGGTAAGGACGATCGTCAGTCATGGAGGGGGGGGGGGCACTGAGGCCCCTTCAGATAAGCATCTGGTCGATGCCCTACCGCTGCTCCATTTAATTAAACTGCTATTTTTTTTTTTCTTTCTT